TACAGGGTTATGGGTTGTTTGGGGTTTTTTTTCCACTTTAAATTTTATGCTCTATTTTTTGCTCGGCAATAAGCAGTAAGTTTTTTTAGCCATGCTAATGGCAAAATACTATAAAAATAAAAACTTGTTTACATTCTCCCTACCAGGCAAATACTGTACAAAGACTTTTTCTCCATTAAAGCATTCAGGAGTCAGAGTATATGACTGCTCAGCCATGGATTTCTCAACATGCATTTCTGTTATGCAAACAACTCTCACTATTGGAAACGTGTTTATAGTAGAATCAAACACTGCCAAATATTCATCTTTAACTGTTAAGGGATTAAAGGGAAACTACACTTGGAAAACACAGGGCATGGAACAAATGATTTCATGAAGAAATAAGTCAACCATGTAATGTTTCCATAAAACACAACCTGGGAGAGTTACAGTACAAGAAAGGCTTCAAACAACACTAACACAACATTTTGTAGGGCTTTTTTGGAACATGTCACAGATTGTAGCGATGCCAATAGTGAACTTTGTCCTCTTTTACAAAGACAGCTGGATTAAGCAGCAAACTTTTATTATTTTTCTATTGCTTGAGTATATATCTGTACAATTTCTAATACATCATCTTGAAAGCAGGGAGTTTAATCACCACTTCTAAACACTCTTCTCAATTCTACAGCTAGAGAAAATACTTCTCTCAAATCTCACTTATTTGGGCCTTCCAAAACCTCTTTTCAATTCATGCTAAATTTGAGTCATTCATTAAAAAGCACTGATTACAAAGCCTACACAGTTTTCTTCAATGTTTCTTCAAAAGAAACATTTCAAAAGTGTCATTTTATTTTAAAAGCTATCAGCAAAGAGACTGGCAAAGGCGATTCAATGATCACGCATCGCATTATAACCCCGCTGTAAAGAGAGGCAGAGTCTACAGAACGAATCAGTGGGGATTTAATTATGCAAATTATTATAAAGACTAACTCAAGGGCTTGCACACACTTTCACCTTAACGTAGTCAAGGGAGATCCCTAGGGTGCACCTCAAGCAGGCTCCTATGCTTCTTGAAGGAAAGGCTGAGGCTTTTAGTCCTAAAGAAAAGCAGCCCCCTGATAAACTTTTTATTTCATTTTATTTTTTAAACAGGAAGTGTGAAAAGGAGGAGAACATAATATTCCTGGATAAGCTCTAACTTCTGCTTCTCATTCATATTTAACTATGATCTTACATTTTGTCAGAAACGTAGCTAAAAAAGGCTGCAAAATTTATATCACATCTGATCTACAGCCCCTACAGAAAGGAAGCAAGCCAGCCTTGTGGGGAAAAAATATCTATCCAATATTTACATAGTAGGGAGTGCACAGAAGCTGACGTGCATCTCTATGACTCTTAAATTCAGGGTCTCTGAAAACAGTTCTGTTCCTGGCAGAAACAGCCCTGAGCAGTCAGAAGCACGTGCCCAACACTCCCACACTGCTTCTACTCTTCTCTTTTTATAAAATCAGCATTACTGCACGCATAAAAGATTTATTACTGTTAAATCCAAAATTATTTTTGTGACACTGAAAAGCTACCATCAATTTTGAAACTGCATTCTTGCTTTCTTTATGGAAATCTTCAAGAACTTACCATTAACGTAAGGCACCTGCCATTAAGCTTCACTTTTCAGCTGCAGATTCCCAGCTGGCCGCAACGGTGACCTGACATAGCCCGGTCACCCCTTCCCACAGCGTGCCCGGCCCTGTCACTCGACTAACGCCCACTTCCCTCTGTGGCCGGAGAGGCAGAAAATCCAGGACTTACAGGAAAACTCAGGATTTATGGCTTCTTAGACACATACGACTCCTGCAAATCTAATGCTTCGCCAGCATTTAGAACGGTTAGAAGCAAAACCTAGCTAAAAATATCCACGTCCGCAAAGCCCAGCGCTGCTGGCAGTACCTTGGCCGAACTCTCCCCGTTCCTTTGGTACCGATTCCGCTCCTGGATCTTCTCGGCGACCTCTTGGGCGACCTGGCAAGCGGCGTCGTGCAGCGAGAGCCTGCGGAGGAGAGGCGGCAGTGAGCCCCGCG